CACTCTCCCCATATCCTTTTCTTTTAATAAAATCAAAAGAAATTGAGCAATTGACTGTAAAGCTCTATTGGAATAAAATACAGCATAGAGAATTATGTTTATAGATAGGTCCATTTGGGAACACTGAACAGAATGCTGCAGCACGATACAAATAAGGACAAATGAATCTTTGGCTAATGCTGGAATCCTCTGGGGGTTAGTTGGATTGCTAGAAAACCCATTGATTTTAGTTCTTTTACTGGAATGGTAGTGGATGAAGACGAGGCAGCACTGGTTGGAACTGCCATGTTTGTCTTTAAATGTCTCTAATTAAACATGAGTTTAATAATGGTTTCGGAATAGACAAAAGCATATGCTTGTGCAAAAACTGATACCACTGCACTTAATAAGGAACTTTCACAAGACTTTGTCCCAAGATTTGGGATGTCCTTACCATTAAACCCAAACAGAGGAACACTTTGGGTAGGACAAATCATTAAGGAAGTTTGCAGATTCAGCCCAACTTACCATCCAATGTCAGCAAGGGCAGTAAGTCAAAACCTTTGCTGAAATGGGACTAACCTGGCCAGCATGTAAGATCAACAGTTAACAGAAACACAAGACTTTCTCCTCATGAGATACTTATTAATAGGCAAACCAATGAAGTTGCTAACCCTCCATTCATGGCCATCTATTTGCAAGATATACACTTAACCATTGACACTCTTACTGAACCACTGCAGAGCCTAAAGAAAGAGTATGAAAGATACTCCTGAAGAGTGTGGCCTAGGGGTCTCTTCGAATTGTACAGAATCTGGACTCAGCAAAGGCCTGATAAATGGTCTCCTAGACTGAATGAAGATTTTTAAATCTCAACGCCTCTTAAATCTCAACGTCTGTGTCACTGCCTCATTCCACATCCTGCTCTCTGTTATGACATGAGAATGTCATGTTGCCCTACACTATGAAGTTGCTAAATAAGGTATATAGAGCACTTTGAACTATTAAGTAAAAGGAGTATATAATCATTAGCTAAAATGATTGCTGATTCTGAATCCATATTGCTCTGAGAAGAAATCCTGATAGAAAACACTCCTTTCTTTCCTGAACAATCTTTGCCCCTTATACTCTTGTGGAGTTGCTTTTTCTCCAGAAGCAACTAAAAGACCAGATGGCACGTCGTCTGGATGTACAGTCACCAGATTGTACATGTGGCTAGAGTGGGGCCAGTGCAAAGTCCAAGGATCCAGGAACTGCCCTAGCAAAGAATTTGCTGGGCAAGAATGGGGAATTTTCAGAAGCACATCTTTAGCAGTCTAAGGGCGTCAGCCTCAGAATGGCAAATAGCTGATCCACACGGATCAGAAAAGCCGAGGGCAAGAGCAACGTGCATTTGCTCATGAAAGAGACTTCATCCTTTCATGAGCAAATCCAAGGCACATTGCCAAGAGCCAAACTGCTGATTTGCTGCCACTCTCGCATGTTTCCCTGGTAGCATCATGTTTTCCTCTGCTTTTCAAGGCTGCACACTTGTGTCAGTTAAGGTGCAAGTCTCATGCTGCCACCTGGAATGACCAAATTTCAGGGTCAAGTTGTGCATACAAGCTGCTCCCAGGCTTTTATGTTTGCATGTGCAACTCATTTGTAGAGGAGGTTATACTTTGTATTGGAATGTTCTTTAATATTTACTGATTCATATGTTCTTTTCATATTCATATGTGAGCTTAAGTGGACTCCAGGGATGGTGGAGGACAGGAAGGCCCGAAGGAATGTTGTCCGTGGGGTCGCGATGGGTCGGACACGACTTCGCGACTAACAACACCACCACCAACAACATGTTCTTTTCAGTTACGTACCTGTTTCCTGGAGGTTGCTGCATCATCTGTGGAAATGGATGTTTGGTACCATTCTGACAGATAAAAGACTAATATTAGAACATTGGAAGGATAATTGCCCAATAGATTGAGGACCTAATAAAGTTTTAGCATTTGAATGGATGACATATAGGCACCACTCTCAAATGAACCTATATGGTTGCTTGGTCTGCTTGTATTAAAGTTTACTGTATGTATTATTGATACTCATACATTCAATTGCTCTCTTTCTCTCTTTTTCTCTCTCTGCCCAGCATCATGAGAAGCTATGGTAATTTTATAACTTTGTGATTTTTTTAAAACATTGTTGGTCTCTTGTGTCATCGAACCCCACTTTCAGAATTTCAGCATAGTACATTTGGAGGGATACAATGGCTTGCTGCAAGGTTTCCATGTTTCACTGCGGTTTCTTGTGATCGCTTGACCCAGGAGTAGCAACAGAAGGGGCTGCCCTCGGCATCTAATCTTTACTATACATAGCTCCCTGGCAATATATGCATCATCCCTTGCTTTGTTCTGTTGGCTGAGCGCTGTGCCCATCATCTTGTTTACATTCTGAAACAGGGAAAAAACAGGTGAATGGATGGAGGAAGCAGAAGAAACCATGGCAAAAATGTTGATTTTAATTCAATAAAAGACCCTTTGGAGTGGGAATACCTAGGAAGTATTATGGAGGTGAAGGTACACTCAGGAGAGAGAAGAGGGAGAACATACCTTAAAACCTCAGCAGACCAATCAGGAAGCAACAGCTGAGGTAGCTAGGGAACAATGCAGTGCAAAGAGGGGTTGCTTCAGGGGCTGTTGGGATACCTGGTGGGAGCAGGAGAATGGAACAGGAAGCATGGAAACCATGTTTCCCTGGACACCATGCCTTTATACAATGCTGTTGAAAATCATCATAGCAGTACATTGTAAGAGGGCTTTTGTTTCTGTTTTATAATGGGAGTGACTCACCCCTTGCTATACCTCCAGCTCCAGTTCCTAAATACAGGCAGGTAACAATGCAGATGGGAGAGGAAAAAGCCATTACTGCATTTTAGGACACAGTCTAATGGCCATTAGATGCTGGCTGGCTGGCTGGCTGGCTGCAATCTTGGGAAAACCGCCTGGGAGCACAGTGGGCGCACCATCTCTGGGGGTGGGAGCGCCCCTGCCTGAGCAGCCTGCAGAGTTCTTTCCATGGGGTTCCTAAGATGGGGCAGGTGCTGCAGGGGAGTTCAGTGGGGACAGTGAGGGAAGCAGCAAAGCACTGCTACTGTGCAAAGAATCCAGACAGGGCTTCAGCCCTCCTCCTGGCCAGCAGGGGCAAAAGAGTTAGATTGCTGAAATCTGCCAGTTAAATGCTCTGGAGAGTGAAGGGGGTACCGAGGCAAACCTAGCCTCTGCACTCTGGTCACGTTCAATTAGAATTCCCATAAACCCCTGAGTGTGGAGGGATATGGGCAGCCCCAAGGGACTGTGCCCTTAGTAAATGTGCACAGGTCTCCCTCAAAGGTGATTAAAAGGGGGGAAATGATGCTAATTTTGTGCAAATATTCCCAAAGGTGAAAATGAACATGTATCTTAAAGAAGAATATGAACAAATCTTCCCAAACATGGAAAAAATCTACAAAATAAACTCTGCTTCACAAATGACTATGTTTGTGTTCAACAGTGGAGTGTTGGCATAGACTGCTGAGGTTTTGCCACAAAGGCCCATGGGAAATGTGCTAGGACCTTATGGGATGACTGAAGGAGTCATGACATGTCACAGAGCTCCCAACTGTCTGTGGGTAATAATGTGGGGTAGCAAGTCTATTTTCAGGGTGGTTTATTATGGCTGAACAGCTCCTTCTGTTTTCCACCCACAGTCCAAGCTTTGGCTTGACCTAGAAAGCCTGGTCACAAATCGAACCACATGGCTTGCTGTCCCCTTTCTAGAGACTCATTCTTGAAAGGGAAAGGTGCGGTCCCAAAACCACGAGGCAAAACAAACTTTGCATCAAGAACTAGATTAAGGACATCACTGATTTCATGCAGGCCATAGTGCACTCAGGTAATTCAGAAATGTAAATCATTTGGCATGGACATCCTGTAGGTTACGCCCTTAATAAAAACATTCAACTGCCATAACAGCCAGCTTGCGTATTCCAGGTCTTTCTCTTTTTTGTTTATTTATTAACTACATGGGTTGTGCATGACTTTGATGGCTGACTGACTAGAAAAATGCAGACTGAGAGGTTTTACCATAACAAACTGCCATTCCCAATAGGCTAAAAGACTTGGCTGAACATTTTGATCTAGAGCATAACAGAAGTGAATGTAAAATGCATCTATTATTGATTGATTGAATTTGTTCAAAAGCTGTGTGTTAGCAACATTCTCTATATAATATCATTGCAATATAATCTATTGCAAATGCTTAATATAGTTTTCCCAGGTTTGCTCCCTACTCTTGATGCAATTCATGAGGAGTATTTATATTATATTTTAGTGCATGTGCTGTCGTCATATTCAAAGACTGATGGAAAATTATAACAAAGGACAATGCTCCTTATATTTCAAGACTGAGCCTTTCTGCATGAGGCATTTATCATGCAATCAACATTCCCTATTTGAGCTTGTTAACAGGTTCCTTAGCTGCTGTTATGACCCTCCAGATTTCCTTTTGTGTCTAGCCAGTGCTTTTGGCATCTTTTTTAGAACAGAGAAAATGTAGCATTTATTTGTGAAAGCAAAAGAACGTGCATATGGAAATTCAAACCTAAATTAGGAATGCTAAGAGGGGAACACACTGTCTGACCAAGATAAAATAAAGAGAAGATGGAAAGAATATATGAATGAATTATACGGAAGAGATAACAAGATAACAGACTCTTTGAAGAAGAATCCTATGAGGAAGAGCAATATTAGAAAGTGAAGTGAAAGCTGCTTTGACAACACTTGGGAGGAATAAAACACCTGGAACAGATAGGATACCAACAGGGCTACACTATTCCAAGCTGCAGATACTGAGTCAGTCCAAATTCTAGCAAGAATATGCCAAAAAATAAGAAAAAAACAGTGGCTCACAGAGTGCAGACATGCAATATACATTCCAGTCCGCAAGAAAGGAAATCCAAAGGAGTGCGGCATCCAGAAGACCATTGCATTAATTTCCCATCCAAGCAAAGTGATGCTCAAGGCAGTGCAACAAAGAAGCCATGGCATGTATTTCCAATTAGCTGCTCAGGACATGCTGGCACGCGCAGCAATGCAGAGGTGTTCATTCAGGCCATGCTGGTTCTGTTCACAGTGTCTCTGGTATTTTCAGGCAGCCGTGGCAGGGAAGCAGGGGGCGAATCCGTACACTTCCATCAGTACACTTAATTTATCATACAACTGCATCTAGAAATTGCATGGTTATGTAATTTTGTTATGTTTTATTGCTGCCTCATTCTAGATTGTATTTTATTCTATTTATTATTTTTATTCACTGCCCATAGAACTTTGGGCAGTGAATTGAAACTGGAATTCTTGGGCAGCATTGAAACTGAATGAATGAATGAATAAAATTTCTACTATTAAAACAACAAATCGTAGAAGGCAAACTGCTTTCCAAGGGAATATTTTCATTATGTTTTCCCATTTACAGTCATGTTGGCTTTAGTGTATTTATTATATGGGAAGAAGGCCTTTCTTCCATCATGAAGTGAAAGCAGCATGCTTTCCCCAAGGGCCTCCTCATCCATGCCCTGTCTAAACTTGGATTGGATGCAACCTCAACAAGTTCAGGGTCAAGTGGTGCTCCACTGATACAACTCTCAACCATGTGCTATGACTGAGATGCAGGGCTCAGCCAAACAATCTCGGGCAGTGATCGTGTGCTCCAGCAGGGCTATTATCACTTGGGTAATGAACGTGCAGGTGCTAGCTATGCCAGGGAGAGATAACAGTGCCACACCAGAGGGCATGAATAGTTTTCCTTGCATGCATGGCATTTCTACTTTCTTTCCAGATCAGCAAAGCACTCTGCTAATTGTCGATGGGGAAACAATGCAGAGTTATAACCCAGCAACAAACCATGGGTTCAAACACTGGTTTGTTTCTCCTTCAACAAATCAGACAGCTGGATTCACAAGGCATGGAAACAACCCAGGAAGATGATGTCCCTGAGTTGTTTGGCAATCCAGAAAGAAAACAGAAGTGGAGACATGCAGGAGTTAGTTTGTTAATTTGCTCCGGTGCAGCCATGGCTAACCATGGGCTCTTTAGCCTCTAGTTAACCCCTAGGTACAATCTGGGTCAGTGTGCGTCTACAAAGATGTTTTGCACAGGCAGTGAGCACCACATTTAATAATAATTCCGAGCACAGACGAATACTTGACCTGATTGACTTGCGTCTGTGGTAACAAAGAGCAACTTTGTCTTCTGAGGGTTGTGCAGCCACTAGGTGTCAGCATTGTTTAAGCCTCCTTTCAGGTTCTTAAGCGTAAGAAGCACCACTGTGTGTTTATCCATGGACAAATTGACCAGGATACCCACCTCCCCAATGAGCACTTGTATTTTGCCATTTTGATTCTCTATGCAAAACTTGTATGTTGTGGAATTAAACATCCCCCCCCACAAACAAAAGGATTCTCGCTGTTCTCCCTCCCCTCTCCACCTACCTACAACTTTGAAAAATGGTTATAAGGAGATCATTATTCTATAGGATTCCAAAGAAAGAAGTGGCTATTTCAGAATGCAAAAGAAAAAGAAAGAAAAAAGAAAGAGATGTTTGTATATGGTACAGATATGTGGGGGGAGGGGACTCCTGCAATTAAATTTGCCTCTTAATTATTGAGATAATCTTAGTGCAGGCAACTAGGAATAAGAAAGAAGGGTCACATTTCAGAAGTTTGGTTTCCCGCAAAGGCCACTGACAAGTTTGTGTGTTACGAACTGTAGCAAAGCAATCCTCTGTATGCATAGTTTGTAGTAAGATGGACTGCATTCCGTGAGGTTAATTGCTAAGTCGCTATGAATTCCTTAAATAATCATTGCAACTTACAGATCCAGAGTCTATGGATCAAGAGATGAAGAGACCAAGAGAAACCAAATTTGGATAGATTGAGCACCTTTGCATATATCTGGTTATTTTTCGTTATTTACTATGCATCTGTGTGAGGAGGGGAAAGTTGCTATGCACTGCAAGGAATTCACCTACCTCTCCAAGAGGAATTTCTGCCCAACCTTTGACTTGCTTTATACACACATCTTTGTTGCTGTAAGTCGAGGTGTTTGAAACTTGTTTTTCCAGAAATCATGCAGAATTTGGTAGAGGGTGCAACTATGCATAAAGGATTAAATGACATTAGAAAGAAGCTAAAATAGGTGAAGGGAGAATTTTTACAGCATTCTTTAAAAAATATATTTTAAAGCCTTCAGTATCTCTTAGAGCTGAATCCTACCATGTTCTAACAGACTGAAGTTTGCATGTTTAGGAGTACACCCTGATAGATATGTATTGTTATTCAGATAATGCATTATTTCAGATTCTTTCTTCTCCATATGAAAATGGGCATGGGTTGAACTGATCTTTGTCCTTGAAATGCAGAATGTTGTTCTGAATGTGTGCAGTGATTTGAACAAGGGTTAAGGTGCACCAAAGTTTTCTATGACTTATGATGACCCTGTTAAAGAAAGCTCTCCAAAACATCCTGTTCTTGACTACCCTGCTCAGCTCTTGCAAAATCAAAGCTTTGGCTTCCTTTAAGGAATCAATCCATCTCTTATTTGGTCTTCCTCATCTTCTTCAGCTTTTCCTAGAAGTATTGTCCTCTCTGGTGAGGCTTGCCTTCTCAAGATGTGCCCAAAGTACCACAACTGCAGATTCATCAGCTTTGCTTCCAGTGCAAGTTCTGGCTTAATTTAACCTAAGACAGACTTGTTCTCTTGTTGTCAGTTCAAGATAGTCACTCAGGTCTCCTCTAGCACTCTGTCTCAAGGAAATTTATTTTCTTCATATTGGCTTTCTTCATTGTCCAGCTTTCACATCTATACATAGTAATTGGAAATACAGTCATGTTGATGATCTTGGTCTTGGTCTCCAGCAAAGCATCCTTACACTGGATCATTTCTAGTGCCTTCATTGCTGTTTCTTCCAGTTTCAGATACAGTCTCCTGAATTGATGGCTGAGCCAAGATATACAAACTATGTCACAATTTCAATTTCTTCATTGTTGACATTAAAGTTGTGTAATTCTGCTGTACTCAAGATTGTTGTTTTCGTAACATTCAGCTGCAAACCTCTTCTTTCACTTTCATCAGGACTTTTTTCAATTAGGTGCTGCTTAGCAGTAATATGGTAATCATCTGGCAGTAATATGGTATCATCTGCATATCTTGAATTATTGGTGTGTCTTCTGAGAGTTTTCACTCCTTCTTCCTCTGATCCTAATCCAACTTTCATTATGATAGGTGTTCTTTCATTTTCTCATGAACTACAGTAGAGATGTATTTTCCCCAATTGCCCTGATCCATGTATTATAATATGCAAAAGATGTCAAATTCATACCAACCCGCCTCATAATCTTCATAGGAAGGCAACTTGCTGTGTACTTAGGTACACTGTATGCCTACAAATCCTTTTGAACCATGAGAAAAAGAACTGTGGAAAGAATAATACAAGGAAT